GAGGAAGCCACGTGGAAATGAAAAACAAAAGAAAAAAAAAGGAAACAGAGAAGAAAACGAAAGGAAAAGAGGAGAAGGGAAAAAAAAAGAAACCAAAGAAACGAAAACGAAACAGAGGAAGGAGAGGATGAAATTGAAGTTTCTGAAATCGATTTGAGGTTGGGAACTTGATTTTGGTAAGTTTTGGAATTTTAAACCTTGAATTTCTAGGATATAGACTCCCTTGCTTTGTGGGTCTGTGAATCACAAGTTTTTTTTCGAGATTGGAATAAAATGATCTATGGGTGTTGCTTTGCCTAAGAGATTTCTTGAACTCTTGTGATGGTTTCGGCCTCTGTGCATGATTTCATTGTTGTAGGTCGGAGGAATCTGTGAAGTAAAAGAAGAAGAGAAGAAATGGAGAGAAAGAAATGGAGGGTTTCGTTGGTTGTGGTTTGGGAAGAAGAAGATGAATAGTGCAGAGGAGAGAGAAAGACGAGTATAATCAATGGTTAATAACCAAGTTGGAATTTGTGTATTGTGGGCCTCATTTGTAAGGAAAATGAGAGAGGAAGATGTGTAATTGGACAGTAGAGAGAGAGTGAGGTTGTTCATTAAATTAATGGTTTAATTTGAAGAATTGTAGAGTTTAATTGGAAATTTGGTGTGAATTGAAATTTCATTGGTTATTATTTCAGGATGATCGGAAATTGGAGCAGCGTACCAACCCAATTCACCTCGTTCATAGGATTTGCGAGTGGTTATTTTACTAAATATTTTAAGATATCTATTATAGAACTTCAAGAAAAAATATATTACGTATGTTTGATTATTGTTGGAAAAGCTTATTATCTCAACTCAAAGAAGTTTGTTATAAGAGTTTAAATTTCAGTTTATATGGAAGAAGTTTTATAAAATTATTTCCTTATTAAAATGTCACTCACTGAGCTTCCTAGCTAACTGTTTATCATTATTTTCCTCCACCATGTTGCACCTGTGTTTCATTGAGATAGCCGACCAGTTTCTGCTACTCACCGTCTCAGAATTTGCATATCATTTTGTATGTACATCTAGAATGACTCATACTGGAATAATTGTACCTTTTGTGGTTGTACATCATGTTTAGGAGTCGTGACCGAGTAGTTATTTTTGAGATGAAATATGTTACACTTTATGTTTTATATGTTGAAGAATAATCTAAATTAGTTTTAGATATTTAGAAAGAAGTTGACTATAAACTTGGTAGATGGTTGAGGGTCTGCGGTCGACACGATTTGTCCTATAGTTAGTAGGTGTTTAGGGCGGGTCGTGTCATATTGTTAGCCTTGTAAATTTCCATCCAGGCTTGAACATTTTGCATAAAAAATCGATAAAATATAAAAGTGTATATATCGACTAAATATCATTGATTATTAAGAAGTAATATTAATATGAGTAATTTTTAATTTATAATAATTTAAATGTTTGAAATTTTTTATTTTTGTAATGTGTTCATAAATATTTATTTATATCAATATTTTCATCATCATTTTCATAAAATTGAGACCTCCTGGATATTTGACATTTAAAATCTTATATGAAACTTTAATAAATGTTTTGATTTTGAGTTATATTATAAAATTGAGTAAGAATTTATTTAGTCCGTAAATTTGTAAAAATTTATATTATATATATAATTTGGTTGATTGTTTAGAGACTTACCGCATTTTTTAAACATTTAAACTTCAAAATTTTATTAGATAATTTTTTAGAGATCTATTAAAGGGGATTTTAAAAATTGTAGACAAAATTTGTAATTTAATTCTATATTTCTATTAATTACTTATTTCTAACTTCATTAATTAAATACTAATATGATGTGACTATTTGTATGAAAAATTACTTTAGCTCAGTCAAAATTTATTTAATGAATATGTTATGTAGGAGGCTGATTAATAACGTTAGTGGATATAGAATGAGTGTAATTTGAAATATTTTAATTTTAATTTATTATTAAAATTCATGAATATTGATGAAATTTTTTCTTTTAATAATATGAATATTCAATAGTTGCTTAAAAGTAAAAATGACAACGTGTTTCATTTAAATAAGACATGAGTTGTACTAATCTAACATAGCATAACTCAATTTTATTTAGAGATCTTTTTCATTTTTTTTAAGATAAGATACGTATCCCTTTTCATTTGTCAAAGAAAAAAAATTTGAAAGAATAACTTTTTTATATAAAGTTTGAAATTTGAAAATTTGATGGTTCTTAATTAGGAATATTTTCTTTTCTAAATAGAGGAGACTAGTTTTTTTTTTTCCTTTTTTTGTGAAAGAATGGAATAATATTTATTGGCGAGGGACGACTAATTTAAATTTAACCTAACAGTTTTTTCCTCAAGATATTGTTAAACATGTGTCAAATTTGTACTTCTTTTTCATATTTAAAGGATTGAAATGGTTTGACATATATAATTTTTAAAATTACTTTTATTGTTTTTATTTTTTATTTTAAAAATAAAATTTTGAATATATGTTTAGGTGATAATATTTTAAAAGTTCAGAATTTATTTTCACCGGTGGCTGATTTCTTAAAATAATTAACGTTATTTATTTTTTATAAGTAGAAATTTCAAGGGATCAATAAACACCATGTCCTTTTTCTTTTTCTTTTTCTTTTTCAAGCACTATACTTATTCTGTTTACAAAAACAAAGTGCTGGAGGAATAAAGCAAAAAATGTCAGATATTTCCATGCAGTGATAATTTTATTTGAATCATTAAACTTTTCAACCATTGATCCAATAATAATATACGGACAAAGGAAAAGATATTCTATTCTACTGGTTAATGATTGGTTAAATTATAAGGAGACAGTAATCACTTGTTTTTACTTATATATAAATTTAGCGAGGTAGAATTTTATAGGGATTGGGTGGAATAATTAAATAGTCATTTTGCAAACTATACCTTCTATATATATATATATATATATAAAAGAGTGAGAAAGTCATTTATTCAAAGTAGGTAAACTTTTATTTAAGGTAAAAGTTTAAACGTACGTGTGTATATATATATACGCGCGCGGCATTATAGCATTAAATGCATGTGTTTATTTATATCTTTAAAAAATGTATTTATTTATATAAGTTTAAATAATTTACAAACTTCATTTGTATTATACTCTTAATGTTATGTATCATTCATGTCGTTTATTCAAACATCCAAATTTTTAAAAATAATTGTAATATACAAAATGCAGTCAATACATACTTTTTATGTAATTCAACGACAATATAATAATGGAGGCATTTTGCCTACATAATGGAGGCATTTTGCCTACATAATATAGTATAAATATGTATTTTCATATATATATATATATTAATAGATTTAAAATTTTACAAAAATAATAAAATCAAAATAAATCCCAAACTCAAATACAATAATAAAAGTCCGGATTATGCTCCCATTTGTTAAAAAGAAAAGTTTTAATATTTTTTTGAAACACACGTTACATTTATTCAATTAATGGTAAAAATATTACACGTGAAGAATTGTTTTTCCTACTACTTTTTATTCAGTTAAAAAATAAAATAACAGATTTTAACTTCATACACATGAGACCCATTATTCTCGTCCCATAGGATAGCAACATTGTGCGTGATCAAAAATCGTATTTACTTTCCTCCATAAAATTTGAAAGATTTTGTTTTAATATTTCAATTTTGTATATATATTAGTTACTTTATTACTTATTTAATTTAAATTCAAACTCATTATGAGATGTGATACTTAGCACAGTACTTATTTAAATAGATATAAAGTCACATAAATACTTGCTTGTTAAACTTTTGTTATACAATAAACAACAAAAACTAAAATTAAATGCTTACCTAAAATTTATAGACTAAGTGAGAGTACTTGAAAACCAAGAAAACTAAACTATAATAAATATGAAATATGAGAATCAAAACATAGAGCGAAAATTTTGAATTAGATCTATATTATGGGGAAAATTGACTTGTACATGTCGAGGACGAGGAGGAACTAGCCAAATGTATCTAAGACAGAGCTTAGCTCAACTCTGATACATATGAAGATTATGTTAATGAAATATCTACCGATATACGATATAATATCATTTCTGTTGGTCGGAGATCTAACATCTAACAAAAGATCCACTAAGTATGGATGATCTAAGATATCATATGCCTCTAATCAAGCTTAGCTTGATACTAGTTCAGACTAAGTATTAACTAAAGTTTAAGTGTCGATGTGACCAAGCACCCACCACATAGGTACAATATTTATTTACAAATAAATTCAATAGATAAAAAGTTCATCGTGTGTCATCCTTGAAGGGATTCGTGGGGCTCTCTCGACGAGTTGCTCTCGGTTACTTGTGGAATCGGATTCTCTAGAAGCAATTTCTCTCCTAAATCACCCTTTCTTGGTCCTGAAGGGGTGTGGACTCACGACATCAAGCTTCTAGCGACAAATTTTGAGTTCGTTCAATTCATGTATGTTCCTTGCCGTTGCAACCGCCTTGTTGATTTGCTTGCTAAGCGCTCTTTGGGCTCTTCGTCTTCGTGTTCTTGGTTTCACGGAATTCCCCCTATTATTACGTCTTGGAAACATTGATGTAATTTCACCTTTTGTTATTGATATTTCTGCATTGAGATATCACCTCATCCAAAATCTGGCATCGAACACAATAAATAATATTTTTGACATTAACAAAAACAAGAATTTAAGGATCAAGTCCAATTTATATTTGATTTTAGGTCAATATTTTTGTTGTAAAAAGCCCATAAATTTTGGACATAATAAAAACCCGAAGCCACGGAAGAATCGGGGGTTTCTCGTGGCTATGGAGACCCCAAAACCCTACCCGCACGCGAACCCTCTGCTATCCATTTCCTCTTTCATTCACAATCACTGTATCCGACTCGGTGCCGAGTTTTCGAATCGTCTCGAAGATACCAAGCGCTTTGCCGGAACCCTTGCCAGAAGATGGCCGGCGGAGGCAAATTGGCGATTCCTCCCCACACCAGCGTTCGCGTCCCTTACGCAGCACACGAATGCCTTGGCTGCCACTCTAAGCTCGGACCAAGTGGCTAAGTCCCTCGTCGGCACGGCGGTCTACACTGTTAGCAATTCAAACAACGAGTTCGTGCTCGTTTCCGATCCCAATGGAGTTAAGTCAATAGGCTTACTATGCTTCCGCAAGGAAGATGCCGAGACCTTTTTGGCTCAGGTATATTTTGCCCCTGTTTTTCTGGCATTCACGAATGTTGAAGTAATAGGGAAGAAGGGTAGGAAAAACTTGTCGAAATCAATTTTATGCTTTTTTTCTTAGTGGAATTTGTGTTGAATGGTGTGTGAAATTATCTTGGGAGTAAGTTTTATATTATGTTTAGTCGGTTAAAATCTGATGTTTCGTCCGTAACTTTTGAGAGTTCTGATATTTTTGTTACAATATGATATCCATTATAGTGAATTGCAGGCCCGGTCAAGAAAAAGAGAATTAAGAAGTAATGCGAAGGTTGTCCCAATTACCCTTGACCAGGTACTTTTCTTGCATCTCGGTTACTTTAAGTACCAAATTCTTATCATTTATTTTTTTGTTGTTTTTTTCCCAATGTCACAACCACGAAGTGGAATTCAATAGTGAAGGTTATAGTGTGGGTGGTAGATAACTAAATTTTCTAGTTTATTCTCCTGACGGATGGGTTGGGACACAAGATGTATCTGTTTTATTGTGATCTGACTGGTGAAAAATTTCGTCTGTGAGACTCATGAATTTGGATGTTTCTTAGTGTGGATTATATGAGAACACTTTGAGATACAGTCTGATTTTTCTTTTGCCTATTTTGTTTACTATGTACCTCATCATTCACTCTTAATTTTTCACTTCAATAGCTTTATTTGTAATTTTTGCTCATTTTTAATGATTTACAGGTTTATATGTTGAAAGTAGAAGGTATTGCATTCCGGTTTTTGCCGGATCCTGTTCAGATAAAGAATGCATTGGAGGCAAGTTTCTTTTGATCTTGTCATTTCTCAAGGCTCTCAGACAGTGGTTTGTGTTAGAGAGTAGAGTATCACCTTCTATGCCATATTTTATATTCACTCATTTGGTTTCTAGATTTCAACTTTTATAGAAATAGCAAGATTTTGATAAGAGATGCTAGGTTGATACTGGTTAGGTACTAACTACTATAGGTGTGGTGTAGTCAAGAAGGAAAGTTAGAAAGGTAATGACTTTGGAGTTTTGAGTTCAAACTCCATGTGCCCATATATCTATCTATCTAGCATAAATCTTGAGAGATGCATTGGTATTTCAATTTTGATAATTTGAGATGTTATAGTCATTGCACATGTTAAAAAACATTTACTAACAATCTCAAGCATTTTGTACATATGCTATTTTCTGTTGACATATGAAAATTGGCTCATAATTGTTTCTCTTTACTTATAGCTCAAAGCTTCGGATACCAGAAGCAGTTTTGATGGAGTTCCTGTGTTTCAGGTAAATTAAATGGTTTTAGCAATGGGAAAAATTTGCGTCGTGAAAACTCCAAAAAGATAGGACTCATAAATTGGAGCATTGGACGTTTTCCAAATTTTTTTAATGTAGAGCGTAAGCAGCTCTGAATCATGATTGTCTTCGTGCCTGCTTCATATTGTAAGCATGATTATAATTGGGTTGATACTTCTCATATCCTGCTCATGTACTTTGGACATTTAATATGAAGAAGCTTATCTGTATATGGAGTTCCTTGTTTGTCCTAGGTTGCTTTACTTTCTCAACTCTTGTAATAATATATCTATTTTTTTACAGTCTGATCTTCTGATCGTGAAAAAGAAAAACAAGCGTTATTGTCCTATATACTTTGCAAAGGTCTGTATAATTTCTGAGAAACCATGGATACATCAAACTATTTAGAATGCTCTTTGATAAGGTGGTTATGACCTCACCTCCCTCTAATACTCGTTTTTTATTGGAAATATAGGAAGATATAGAAAGGGAACTGTTGAAGGTCTCTAAGGCATCTAGAGGATTAGGAACTTCTCAACATATTATGGTATGGTATCTACCTTTTTCTCTTGTACACTTTACTCATTGAATGGGTGCTCATTGAATGGGTTCTCAGTTCAGCGCTCCCCATGATGTGGTGTTTTTTCCTTCTGTGCGTTTTGGTACACTATTGCTTTTTACACTTTAGAAGTAACAATTATGCTACTCGTCAGATATGCTAACTCTTTGTTGCATAAAAGATTGGTTTTGTTATTTTTCACCATATAGTTTACATTGCAGTTTAAAGCAGTTTCTTGCCCCAAAAATTTATGAAATGTAAACAGCCTGTTGGGAAATAATGATGTTGATAAGTACAGGCCAGAATCTGAAAATATTATCCTGCGAGTGCAAAACCGTGTATGATCTTTTGCATGTTTCTGTCTGAAAATGAAATATTTGTTTCAGTAAGTCCACAAATTTATTGCTTATTCCCTTCTTTTAACCCAAATTGTAATACGACAGGTGGGTAGTTTGGAAGATGTTCTAAAGAAAATGGAGGTAAGGTTTCTTGATCTCAACTAGCAGCATCCATCCATCTTTAAATATAGAAATTGAACTTCATCGTTGTTTTCTTAATCAATTGCAGTTGAATGAGAAGAATTCTGCCTGGGAAGATCTAATTTTCATTCCACCTGGCAAAAGCCACTCTCAACACATTCAAGAAGTGGGCAAAGCATGACATAGGCTGTGGACTCGGCCAACAGAATGCACGAGAAGAATGGAGCATGGAGCACTGATTCAGCCAACTGAGGTTAGAAAACATTGGAATTCTATTATAATTGATCTTCACCCCATAGAAGAGGAATAATAAACACTGATGGTCTTTTTTCTTCCCCATTAGACATGACAACGGATCTGATCCAGAGATAATTTTGAGACTGGAGAAGCTAACGTCTTCTCTTTTAGGTCGAGAAGGTTAGTGAAAATGTTGCGGCTGGATTTCTCATATGTGTTGAGTTTGATCTTACGTCTGTATAGACCATCTGTTCGACTTAGTGTTCTTTTGTAGATCAGAATTAATGTAATTGAGCCTGTGAAATGGTTACCAATCCCTAAGATGCAAGTCCCATTTTGCTCATACGTAGCCAAAATACAATACTAAACGGAGGGGGGTATTCATGTGGAAAGGGGATAAATTTGACTGTTTATTGCAATATTCGAGTTTCTCAATAAATGAACATTTAATTTTTTTTTCTCCACCAAAAAGACATTTTACCTTCAAAATTTATTTACTGTTCAACTCAAAAGCTTAAGTTGGGTTACGGTAAATTTAATTGTTTCTTCATGTTAAAATGTAATATTTATTTAGAGATAAAATAAATGATGTCCTTGATTTTATTTTGATCTTCATCTGCCCAATTGAGTTTATATATTCTATTTGCGTGATCCGAATCCGTACACTGGTTATTGTTGGATAACTTCTGTATACAAAAGTTCAATCAAATTTAATTATATAATGCCAAGGTGAGCAGCATAATTAGCTGTAATTGGTATATCCTTCTAATCAAGAGGGTGTGAGGTCGAATCCTCTCTCTAATGTTTTATACTAAAAAAAACTTAATTAATTAATTATATAATATTCTCAAATAATTTACTTTTTATTATTCATTTATTACGAACAAATAATAGGAAAAAAGATTTACCTGCACGCATATCAATTGTTGTCATTTAAACTTCTAATTTCATCCAATTGAATTTTATACTTACAATTTTTACCTTCTGTTTAATTTTTGAATTTTTTATAAAGTAATGTAATATCTTCAAAAGTCCCTAATGTCAATCAAAATTAAGTTCTGTACAAAAATAGGTATGATCAATGCAAAAAACAATAATGGAATAATTGTGATAAAATTCACAAAAAAAAGCTCTAATTATAATTTTTGGAAATACCATCAACTTTATACTAGAAATATATTTTATAATTCCATGGGACATATAATGATACTATTTCGTTAAAACGAAACTGAACATAAAGTAAAAATTATAACATTAAGTTTAAGATAAATATTGTAATGTTTATCTAAGTTTATGATGTAATGCATTGAAATTAAAAAATAGAGGAAAAATTATTACATCATACCAAGTTTAAGGGTAAAAACTAATGTCTCCCAGTAAAGATCTAACTTTCACTTATCAATTAAGTCCTCACTCCATTATTGCAACCAATACCAATTACACTGCATCTTTTTTCTTCTCTTTCACACATTTAGTAAGAATAAAAGTGACAAAACAATTATATTACACAGGCTACATCAAATAATGTCTCCTTATTCTAGTAGCCTCTAACAAACAGGGCTTATACTTGAAGCAAGTGCAAGGATCGGCTGTTTTGGTGGACCATAATGTCTCCTACAGAGCAGAGGGAGTTAAAGAATGTCATTTGATTGAAACATTGTGTAAGAACCAAGGAAGAAGAATGTGGGTTATGAATTATGATGAAAAAAGAGCATAATTTAATTGGTGTCAGAATTTGGGCATTGTTTTGAAATGTAGCTCTGTACTGGAGAGACCAATCTCAATCTGATTGCTCTTTCTTGTACATTTTTAGTACCAAAAATGCAGCAACCCATTTTGCTGTCTTTTCCATATGTTCACATGGAAAATTTGTTCAACTTCCATTTTGTCTCCTTTCTTATATTATGTGTATGCCATGTTTACTTCTGGAGTTAGCATTTTATTCTCTTTAGTGTGTCTCACTACTTTCTTTTCATATTAATTTATTTCTTCTACTTTTCACGACCTTCACATTATTTGTTTATTTTAAATGTTGATAGAGAATATAAATAACAATTATCCTCTAATTCCAATTCCAATTTCAGAATAGTTTTAAAGTATATATTCTTTTTACTCATTACAGAGTGAAACTATTTATATTTAATATTTATAAGGCAATAATTGATTTGCAACCTTTGCGATTTGTCCCGATCTGAAACCCCAATTTCCACGGCTCCATCCGACCGGTCCCATTGACACATACGGCCGGTGACTCGTCACCGTTAGTGGGCCCCACCCACCACTCTGCCGCTCAGCTCAGCACTACTGTAATTGTTCTACACAGCAGCATGCATTTCCCACTCGTGACGTGGCCTCCCCCTACTGGTCAGATCCCCCCGGCCCTTCTCCATTATCACCGGATATTCTTCAATTTGCCCCGGAAAAAACGGTCTTTTCCTCTACTAAAAAAATGGAAAAGAAACTAGGCTCCATGACGTCACCCACCGCCGGCCAACCCCTCCCGTGGAATCGGCGGCGACTTTTAATGGGATACACGAGCATCGCACTCGCGTACTATTTGGTGTCAATTAAAAAAATATTATCCTTAATTAGACACTGATTAATTATTATTATTAGTCTTATCTAAGTCGCATAAAAAAAAAAAACTTAATTTTTTCTAAAAAATAAAACTTAACAGTTGAAGTTCCAACCACCGTTGTCTTGGATTCCTCCGTCACAATTTTACACAAAATCACTTCCACAGATTCAAAAAGCAGGTAAAAGAAAAGAAGATTTTTCTTTTTATTTTTAATTTTAGAAAAGGGAGACAGATGGATGATGGTGTGTGGCAAAAAGTGGGCCCCACGGACGCATACCGGACCCCTCTTTTTCTCATCCTAATTTTAGCTTCCTAAACTTCCACCTTTCCTTTTCCTTTTTCTCCTTCGTTTATATTTATAAAAAAAAAATAAAAATCTGTTTTCTAATTTTGCCATTAATTATTATACTTGTTTCTTTTTTTCCTTTTCTTTTTTGTTTTCCCATTTTCCGGTGATCATTATTCTCCATTACCGCCTCCCTTTTGACTTCTCTTCTTCTTCCTCCTCTGCTTTCTCCCGGTATGCTTCTCTCTCTCTCTATTTCTTTTCTTGTTTGTTTTGATTCTGTGGATTTTGTTGCTTCTATTCTGCTTCGTTTGTTCGGGAACTATGACTTGGTTCGAGCTTTTACCTGGTTTTGATTCTGTGGATTTTATGTTTAGTATTCGATATCTTCGATGCACTGTTTCCCTCGTTTCTACCGCTGTGCAGGAGATGTGTGATTTGGCGCATTAAATGCCTTTTCGAATGTTTATTTCCTTAATTGGTGTGATTGATATTAGCTGCTGTTAACTAATTGGAGTATGACGTTGAAATTTGCCTTTCGTTATGTTGTCATTCAATTGGACTGTGAGTTAGTTGGAAACTTGGAGATTCTTTATTCTGCTTTCGTTTCTGGAATCTGGCAGTAGCAGCCGGGGAATTACAATCTCTGTTCTATTGTTATCGAAAGCGGAAGATGTTTTTACGGTGTAATTAATATGTAGATCAACGATTAACGTGAATTATTTTCCAGGTTTCTTCAGCTGTATTTTTAGCTAACTGCTTATAGTATTTACGGTATCAAGTTTAGGAACTTTTTGCAAATGATCTACTTAAAACAAAATTATTATTGTGTCGCAATCTTTTTTGGTACCAGGAGTGTTTACTGCGACTTCGAGGAAATACATTAATGTAGTGGAAATAATTAGACGGGATAAATTGATCTATTCAAGGAATTAGACGGTCTTCTGAACAAACCTTTTATCTCATGGATTGCATTAAAGCAGCTACTCTTAAGCTCTTGAACTGAAAAATGGAGAGAAAATTGAAGAAATAACCTTAAATATTTGGTTTATGCCAATAGTGGTAAAATTGACGTCAAATCCCACCTCTTGCATAGCAGTAGATATAGGTATTTTGGAATATACCATATTTACAACTGGTTAACTATTTGCTCCGATGGATCTTTTTGCTAGAATAGGCAATATAAAGATCATTGTTTTTTTTCTAAAATTATGATATATATGGAGAATATTAGTGATCGTGAACCACAAGAAGTAATGGAAAGTTTTCTCCCGATTCCTTTTGTCTTTTCTTTTTCGTTCTACACCAGAATTAGTGATCAAAAGGATAGCACTTGGTGATGAAAGCTATGGAAACTGTCTAGCTGAATTGTTGATAGAACTGCTTTAGGAATTAAACGTTTTTAATTGTGAAACTGGAGACTGCATAATGAGTTTATGAATCATTTTAATGTTGTCGTCTATGGTTTCCCTTTTAACTTCACTGAGTGTCGATTAAAAGGTGCAACCACTAGCAGTAACAATATTTACGATTAATATTTTTGCTCTAAAGTCCAGTTGCTATCAAGTGCTTTATTTTTTTACTGGAGAGTCCACCTGCACCTGTTTCGCTGTTTGTCAAATTTTTTCATGAGCATTTGAGTAGAGCTGAATTGCTGCATTCCCGATTGATTAATTGATCAAATACGACGAATTCATTATTTTAGTTTGAAAGACCTCGTTGAGTATTTTGAAAATGGTGCAAAATGAAACGTGCAAACAATGACATAATTCTGGACTAAAAATGCTGAGAATCATTTTCACTTCAGTTATTGACCTTTGGATGTGCCAAGTTCATTGTTAATGGCTTGTGAATCTACTACTACTCCACTGATTTATCATTTGCATGAATACATTTTTCTTATGACTGAAGCTCCGTGAAGTTCCTATCTTGTTAAATTTACAAAACGGGATTTAAAAGCTTACGATTTTGGGTGCTTTGTGCTCGTATTGTTTCAGTTCAACTACAGGATCCTTGTGGCACTATTTTTAACTCTGTGCAATGGAAGATGTGAAATTAGGTGATCAGACATCTTCTTCACAACCCCCGTTACTCTCCCAAGATGATAATCATTCGCAGGGTGAGGATCCAGACCATCTAGTTAACAATGGAATTATGGACCAGAGCAAAGTTCTCTCAAATTCTATTGCTAATGGAAAATTGGAAAGTAAAATTGAATGCTCTGCACGCCCAGTTGATGGAACTGTGCAATCTGAAACTCAACCGCCAGCAGTTGATAATTCTGTATTATCAACCACAGAAGATGCTCCTAGTTATGCAAATACGAGGCAAGGTGAACTTATTGAATCCAATAATTCGGGTCTGAGTTCTACAGTTCTGGATGATAGATTAGAGGAACATAATCCAAATACCTTGATGGAAGACCCCAGAACTCAATCAGTTGAAGGTGTGTCTGAAAAACTTCCTCAGGAACAATCCTCAGTCCATACTGACCCTGCTTCTATTAGTGACGCCATTATTCCATCTGTTCTATCTTCTGAGGAAACGGTTATAAAGAATGAGGGTGTTGAAAAATTAGATGAACTTGCAGAGGGCGTGGGAGTTTCTGATGTAAAAACTAAATCTGTTGATTCTCCAAAAGACGTTAAGCAAGGTGATATAAACAGAGGCCTTATTGATACAACTGCACCATTTGAATCTGTTAAAGAAGCCGTTTCTAAGTTTGGTGGGATTGTTGATTGGAAAGCTCATCGAATCCAAACAGTTGAGGTATATCTTACTACATACAATTGTGATCCTGTCGCAGTTTAAATGTTGTGGCACCCCCTTTACATGCATCGAGGTGGGTCAGCCATTTTTATTATTGTTGACTGAACAGATACGACACCTGTGTTTTCCTAATCTCTTGCTGCTAGAGTCTCATTAAAAGGGTGGTAATTTGCTTGTCAGTATACACGTAGGAGCAGAGGACACTAGTGTCTTTCATTTGTTATTGCATTTAGTATCTAATGTATCTAATTAGTGCTGGTAAAAGTAGCATACTTAGAAAATGCAACACCAGTGTAAGGATGCAATTGAAGTATGCTATCAACTGTGGACTTGTTAGTTTTGGAGTCTAGTTGTGAGTAGTCACAATGGTAGTAATTTGGAGACAGTGAGTTTAGTTTAAAGTGTGAAGTGTTTGCTTCCTTTCATGATGCTCATGACAAAGTATTTGTCCTACCATTTCACATTTATATTTCTCTTTCTTGTCTAATTTCTTCAAAAATATTTTAAATAGATTGACACTTCTCTGTAACGCATTCAACTTGATTGTGCTTGATTGGCATTATTTCCCACTTTGTTTAATGTAAATGATCAAATTCATTCTACCCCCAAGGTGCAAATATATTCTTCACGTCTCTGACTAGATTCAAATTAATTTTCTAATTTAGCTTATAGATTTCTTTTTAAAATGAAACAGAGACGCAAACTGGTGGAGCAAGAACTTGAGAAAGTAAACGAGGAGATTCCAGAGTACAGAAGAATCTCAGCGGCTGCTGAAGAGGAAAAAAAGCATGTTCTATGGGAGCTGGATAGCACTAAGCGACTGATAGAAGACCTAAAGCTTAATCTAGAAAGGGCACAAACAGAAGAGCAACAAGCAAGGCAAGACTCTGAGCTTGCAAAACTCAGGGTTGAAGAGATGGAGCAGGGCATTGCTGAAGAGTCTAGTGTGGCAGCCAAGGCACAGCTTGAGGTTGCTAAAGCCAGGCACATAGCTGCAGTTTCAGAGCTTAAATCTGTCAAAGAGGAGTTGGAATCACTTTGTAAAGAGTATGCTTCTTTGATCACAGAAAAGGGTGCAGCTGTAATTAAAGCTGAAGATGCTGTTTCTGCATCTAAGGAAGTCGAGAAGGCAGTGGAAGATCTAACTATTGAGCTTATGGCCACTAAGGAAGCGTTAGAGTCTGCACATGCTTCTCATTTGGAGGCAGAGGAGCAAAGAATTGGTGCAGCCATGGCCAGAGAGCAAGATTCTCTTAACTGGGAGAAGGAATTGAAGCAGGCTGAAGAGGAGCTTCAGAGTCTTAATCAGAAAATTGTGTCAACGAAGGATCTGAAATCTAAACTGGACACCGCCTCAAATTTGCTAATAGATTTAAAATCTGAATTAGCAGCTTATATGGAATCGAAATTGGAAGAGGAGCCAGATGCAGAGGATCCAGAAAGGAAAAAACATACAGATATACAAGCAGCAGTTGCTTCAGCGAAGCAGGAACTCGAGGAAGTGAAACTCAACATTGAGAAAGCAACTTCTGAAATAAACATCTTAAAAGTGGCTGCAACTTCATTAAAAACAGAGCTTGAAAGAGAGAAATCTGCTCTAGCTACCTTGAGGCAAAGAGAAGGAATGGCGTCTATAGCAGTTGCATCTCTTGAAGCTGAAGTGGAAAGAACCAGGTCAGAAATAGCTTTAGTCCAAATGAAGGAAAAAGAGGCTAGGGAATTGATTGTGGAACTGCCTAAACAATTACAGCAAGCAGCACAAGAAGCCGATCAGGCCAAATCACTGGCTCAGGTGACTCACGAGGAGCTGCGCAAAACAAAAGAAGAAGCAGAGCAAGCAAAGGCCGGAGCAAGTACCATGGAGAGTAGATTGCTTGCTGCTCAGAAGGAAATCGAGGCTGCAAAGGCTTCAGAAAGATTGGCATTGGCAGCAATCAAGGCATTGCAAGAGAGTGAATCAGCTAGAGATACCAATAACACCGACTCGCCCTCAGGAGTTACGCTTTCACTAGAGGAGTACTATGAGCTTAGCAAGTGCGCTCACGAGGCAGAGGAACAAGCCAACCTCAGGGTGGCAGCTGCACTGTCTCAGATTGATGTAGCCAAGGAATCCGAGTCAAAAAGCTTGGAAAAGCTGGAAGAAGTAAGCAAGGAAATGGCTACCAGAAAGGAAGCACTAAACACTGCATTGGAGAGAGCTGAGAAGGCGAAGGAAGGGAAATTGGGTGTAGAACAGGAGTTAAGAAAATGGAGAGCGGAGCATGAACAAAGAAGGAAGACTGGCGATCCTGGCCTCGGAATAACGAACTCCATCACCAGTCCAAGGGCAAGTTTTGAGGGGAAAAACGAACCATCAAATTTAGACGCCACACCTGATGCCACAGCTTCTGCTCCTTCTACGACAAGCCCCAAGGAAAATGTAGATAAAAGCTTTTCTACGGTGGATTCATTCGCAGAAACAAAGCCTGCAAAGAAAAAGAAGAGATCATTTTTTCCTCGAATTCTCATGTTTCTGGCAAGAAAAAAGGCACATCCAAAACAGTCCTGAACCGTTTCGGGTACATATATCTTATTTACACTACACTGTTGATATTTTCACCTCTCCTTTCAATTCAAATTTGGTTTTCCTCCTGGTGATATTATAAATCGATGAGTTCGATGAGTTGGCAGAATTACGTGATTGTACATGCTGGTGATTAATTTTTTTATTGTATGATTAAAAAAAAAGGTATTCATGCGTTTATACGAAAACGTTGCTGATGTGGTTGAAAGATGTTACAAGTTTCTTCGCTTTGATTCTTGGATGATGAAGCTATTCGCAACGTTGTCATGTATAATTTATATAGGCTTCAAAAATTTCCAAGTTTTTGCCGGATTGAAAAATTAGGTTGGGCTTTTATTGGCAGCTTTGTAATTAGTCCCAATAAAAAACGTTAAACTTGAACTTTCAAGTTTGTATTTGATAGGTCCTCTGTAAAAAATATCTACGAAAATTATCCTTTGATCCATGAATTTCTATTGATAGGTCACTTTTACATGAACCTCAGGCCCAAGAATTTCCCATCCTCCATTTTGTTAGAGAATGGGTCGTTTTTAATATTAAACTGTGCAGGGGATAGAAATCAAGGTTGAGATTTTCATGTGCTTCCCAAACGATGGACACAAGATACTACTATGAGTCATCAAAGCAGTTGAAATAGAATACAAATTACAAATACAATTAAACAATATTTGGAACTCATTGATATAGATGATTAAAACTACTTACGGCATCTATGAGGTTCTAAAAAAGCCACTTGAAACGCAGTGAATTGCATCAGAGAATGCAACAAAACAAGTAGCGAGTTAATTCTGGAACTCAATCTCAGCCTCTTAGCCTGCTGGATATGCTGAAGGAACTGACTTTCATCGGCGTCGCGATCACCAATGGAGCCTCGGGCGAGTCAGTCACCGCAAACTTTTCGTGCATGAAACGACTATCAACAATGGAGTCATCTTTTAGAACGATCTTGTAACAGTAGCAGCTCTTCAGGCCCTCCTGATGGCGGTAGCACTCATGGGAACCATTTTTCACTTGTTGGAAGTTCCATATCACACTGAACTTGCCTACGGTCGCAACCAAATGGCGCTCCTGTTTCCCATCCTCGGTTACCTAGAATAATATGAACCATAATGTATAATTTTTACAAAATATAAGTAGAAGACATAAAAAATGTAGCTGCACGAAATTTACAGACGGTTCGAGATAATAAACATATGACAAAATACCAAAAACAAAAAACATAGTCTACTGTAGAACCATATATGGAAAGGAAATTCATGTGCAATTCTTAATGGTAACCTACAAACTCGCACATGAAAAGATCCTGGTGCATAAATTTGGTCTAGACATGCATAAATTGTCTTTGCACTATGAGCAGTCATAACGTTTCAACTTCAGTTATAGTCACTGCGCAACATTTCCAGATTAACTTTGGAGGTTTTCAATTACATTAGTTTAGCTATCAAACTCAATATATGTATTATACAGTGTAGTCCTTGAAGACAAAAATTGCTCATGTGTGGACGTCTATTTAAATGACAAAAATGTTAACAATCGGCTGTTTTCTTCAAATGGAAGATTTACATTTATTATCTCTAAAACACAAGGTATGTTATGACAATATTGCATGCAGGATGAAAAAAAAGGAGAATCTTATAGACAAAAAAATGAATGGTACAAAAAGACAAGCAAAGAAAACAGTCATAGAAAGAGATGACAGTCATATAAGACGAAACAAAGTGTACCTGGCTCAAGCTCAAACACTTGCAACAATTGCCCACTAACCCCCACTCAAAAGTATATATTAGCCAAACATTAAATAAAAAGTTGAACAATAATATCTTAACAAATCCAGCTTGACATTAAGTTAACTAAAATTAAGTTCACACATCAAGGTAAGCAATTAGTTCATTCCTTCAAGCAGCTAGATCATAAAGAGTTCAACCCTCCTACCCTGCTGATCATTGATATGAAGTTTTAATGCCACATCAAACACAGAGAAAATTATCCCAAAAGATAACAAAACCTATCACAGTGATAAAATCATTATAAAAAAAGCACCGCATCCACTAAGTAAGAAGACATGCGATGCATATAGGTCCAAGCAAATTAAAAGTTAGAACAACAATAACATTAAGATTATTCCTGATAAATAGTAGAAAAGAAACAAACATACCCACGAGAATTGAGCATTTCGGAACTTATTGTCCACGCCAGCTAAATGTGAATCCAGAGGAGTCAGCTTTAACAGTCTTGGAGCTGAAATCCGATTCCCCATTCGACCAGCAAATCCAGTCTTTGCCTTCCCATCTTTATCAGTAAAGAGAGTGCAAATAAGAATTATATAGGAATCTGTTGTTCCCAAAATCCACCGACCGTCATAGGTAACATCTACATGTGTAACAGGTGAACCAAGGCCTGGAAAAGCTGTCTTTGCTTGTCTCATTGAATTGATAGAATAGAGCCTAATTTTTCCATCAAGCGATCCAACAACAATTGACCCATCTCCCGTGGTAGCAAAGCACTGGAAATTGGTTCCTCTGGAAAATTGATGCCCTTGAGCCCAATTCAAGACTGGAGTGCTTGACGTAGCAAGATTTTGAACCATTCCTTTCCTATCTCGCATATCCCATCTGCAAAGCCTGTTGTCATCCAAACCCAAAAATGTCGAACCCGAAGGATCCAACTGGGCCCCTTTAGAATCATTAGTAATATCCCTCATTGAAATATCAACACCATCCTTCCCAAACTTCCACTCAGTAACAATTTTCCCCGTTTCAATGTCAAGCTGATGAAGTCCAGACGTGTGAGGCCTCCCCTCATTCATTGGACTCATCAAAAGCATATTGGTCTCAGCCTTCATAAGAAGAGCCTTCTTCGGCGTTGAATAGGCCAAGGCAGAACCACCTCCACGAGGACCCCGATTTCCATTATCGATATTCACATAAACACCCTTCCCTTGAATTCCATGAGTGAAGTTCCTGACGACCTGGATTCCTGAATCGCCGACCAAGAAACTGTTATCTAACGCACCTAAAGCTAAACTCTTAATCCCGCCATCTGCAGCTTCCTCAAACTCCTCCATCAAATCGTTTGCCCTGACAGGTGTTGCCGAATTGGGACTCTTAGAGAAACTCTCCTCCGCATCTTCCCACATTGAGTCATCTGCCACTTCAGGCTTCGCCCAACCAATAAAGTCCTTCCCATAAACCTTCAGTTTATTCTCCTCCGTAGCCTCAAATCCATATGTATTCTCAAACAAACAGCCCTGGAACTTTTCCACAAAGAACCTATAATCTTCATCACTGAAAAATTTCAAAGCCCAGACACCCTGCGCAACAAAGTCCACGCGCCGCTGATCTCTGAACGTTTTCAATTGCATCTCCGACGACACTTTCACTCTAATTTTCGATCCAACCTTCAAATACCACCAAGAGTCATCTCCCCCTTCCTCCTCCTCATCCTCCTCATCTTCATCTTCCTCCTCTTCGTCATCATGGCCGCCCTCGCCAGTTCTGCAAGACTTGAGGAAAGAGTAAGAAGTAACTTTTTCGGAGATAATCCATTTCGCCTTAGGAGTGTTGCCATTAATGTGGAGATAAAGCTTCACCGCGTTTTTTAGGTTTGGCTTTTGAGACGATCCGTACTTGAGCTTGAGAGCCCTGAGCTTCGCCTCGACCTCGTCCACCGACGATGGCGTTTTCGGTTGTCTCTCTGAAGATCTCTGGTGCTCATCTTCAACATCCTCGTATTCCTCCTCCTCTTCATTCGTTTCCTCGTTCCCTTCTTCTTCACGATCGGAGTCTGATAGTTCCAGACCCTCACGGCTTTGAGAGGCTCCCATTAGAATTAACAGATAACAGTCTTCAAGCTCTGTAGAATGCAGATCGAATCAAAGAGGAGAGGTGGAGACGTAGAAATGGGGAAGCGCCAATTTCGAAATTTGAATTTCTGAGGCCTTTTGGTGTGCAGTGAGTCGTGACCTTTTTTAGGGTTCCTCTTTCAGAAAGACGCCGAAACCGGTCAATGGTTACCGCCAATAACCGGTTGCCTTTCTCCATTCAACTGATTGGACTCTTCGGACTTATCCAATAGTTGTGGGCTTTCATTTACTGGGATTTATTTTGGGCTCACACTTCGGCCCATATCCCAAACATGGCGTATGTAATTTTTTTTCCCCAAAAGTTAAAAAGTAGATGGTAAGATAAAAAAAAGATAGATTCTCCAACGAGTTCGAATTAATTTCTACTCTCACATTTGTACTATATATATAAATGAATAAATAAAAGATAGATCTCACAGGAACAAAAACACAACAATAAATTTAATATGGTAATTAAAATAGACAAACAATGAAATAAATACTACATACCTCATAAATGAGACACAACATATGTCATGATTATTTATGCATTCAACTAATGGAATATAATAAATGTTTAAAGGAATTGTTTTATTAAATATACATTGTTATATTTTATCTTAAAATTGAACAAAATAACTCAATTCTTCTTCTTCTTCTTCTTCTTCTTTATATATTTAAATTTTAATATTTTTATCCACAATTTATTTTAAAGAAACAATTTATTATTATCAAGACAATATATCTCTTCAAAGACCCAATTTTAGATTTTATCAAACAACGCTAATATTTTCTCTCCACTTGTATTTGGACATTAATTTATATTTTAAAAAATTACTACAGTAATACATACCCATTCCATTTATACTTTGAGACATCATTGAATGATGCATTGTTTTATAACATGGGTCCACACACTATTGCAGAGGCTTCTGAGTTAGCAAATAATAAAGCAGGAAAATTTCCAATAATAATATATTTTGTTTGCAGGAAAGGAAAAAGATTGTGCAATTATTACTAATTCGCAGAACTTTATTATTTGTTTATCTATATTACTGGAAAGAGAGAGACGAACTTTATCAATGTCAATTATTGAAATTACATCTTTTACTGATATTTTCATATATATAATATAGGAAACTTTCCCTAAAATGGATCTCGAAGATGAATTATTCCATCAATGGCGGACTTCCAAGGAAACCCCTTCATGAACTCACCTTTTCTCCCATACAGCATATTCCATTCCAGAAGTGGCAAGCTGAAATTCCGACGGAATCAGATTTCCAAGATTGGTGTTCGCCCCGATCTTCATTATAATCTTTCCATCAACACCAGCAACGTACAGATCGGCGTCAGAAGCCAAAATATTCACCGCGCTCGTTTTCCCAATCCGATTCCTCGCTCTAATTTCAGACAATCTGATTATCTCCTCCTTCAATCCCCACTCGACGAAATGGTCGTAGAACTGCAAGAAACAAACCATCAGAATTTCGTTCAGAACGTTGCATTTACACTGCGTAATTCAAACGGAAACTGGTCATTTATGTTTATCGCATTGTTGAAGGAATTACAATGGCGGGCGTGCCAGGATGAGTGAGAATATAGGCGTAACCCTGAATCACTTTATCGGAAGGGAACGGCCAGAGTTTCTGAGTAGAACCGGTGTCGTGGTTATCGACGAAAGTCACGGCGCTTTCCGGCTTGATTCCGATGAATCCCGGCGGCTTCCCGTTGGAATCCTTCAGCCTCCATAACTCCCCCTGAACTGCGGCTTGAAGAATCCCTTTGGTTGTGAAATCAAACGCTGTAACGGCATCGCCCGAAGCCTTAACCCAATTCGCCAGTGAATCGCGATGAGCATCCTGGTTTTGGTTAAGCTTCCCGTCCGGTCCATCAGAAAGTGAATCCCATTTCTCACCCACTGCAAAATCTGGTGAAGTTTGATCCATATAGAGCTTGGTAACACTTGGTGCATAGCCCTTCACGAAATCAAATCTCCATCCATCGAACCCAATTTCTGTCTTCAACCATCTCATCCATTCTGATATCTCCTTCTGAACTTGTGGTTTCAGATGGTCGATGTCAGGAGCTGGAGGATAGGGCTCGCCGCTGTCTGGATTGCCCTTCCCATCAGAATAATCAGTGTCATCGCTGCAAATGAAGGAAGGGCCCCAATCCAGGCGGTTATCTGGAGTTCCCCCTTCAAAAATGCACCAAATTCCTCTCTGGTCCTGCTTCTCTGCTGTTCTGTGGTTGATCACTATGTCAGCTATGGCTTTGATTCCCTTCTCATGGAGGGCGGCAATCAAGGACTTGAGTTCATTCTGGGTTCCGTATTTGGATGCATCCAAATCATAGAGCCTTCCGGGCAAGTATCCTAAGGAGGGGGATTCAATTCAAGCAGCACAAATTTAGTCAAATATTCTTGATAAAGGGGAAACAGAAAAAAACAAGACTTGCCTTGTGGAGAAACTGACTGGGAGGGTGGAGGAAGCCAGACATGAGTGATTCTAGCATTTACAAGATCAGGAATTATGTTCTTCAGTGAGTTGTACCATCCTCCTTTGCTGCTTGACTCCCAGTTGAAGCCCTGTGTCCATAATCAATTCAAAGCTTTTAAAAAGTTATAACATCCTCCTTTGCTGCTTGAGAATATGAAAACCTGAAGAGGAAGTGGATTTGTTTACCTGAAACAGTAAGGCAGAAGAAGAGGGGGATGGGAAGAGGGAAACAGAGAGGTAGAGGAAGCATAGAGAAGCAAGAAAACCCATTGTTTTGGAAATGGGCAGTGCATATTTTGCTTTTATAAGCATCATTTCCGCGTTTGGTGATGTCAGAGCACAGGACAAGAGTCATTCCTATGCTTTCGTTTTCTTATGCATAGTGAGAACGACTCGATAGCCAAATGATAAGTCAAGAAGTAATAAGAAAATTCCAATGGAAGAATTGTTACTTTTCCTCCCCATTAGCTTTGAGAAACCGGGCTCTGTTTATGCTGTGAAGAAGGGTTTTCACGGAATCTTGGAACACAAACAGAATATAACTCATGAAACCACGTCTGAAAGCAAAACATAAATTGCTGTTTTGTCCCAGTGTTCACATGTAATCTAAATAAAAAGCCTTGACAGAATGGTGTGAAGGCAAAAGCTCATCGCTTCTTATGGTCCAGTAGCTACCAACCAACAAGAAAACTAGTAGAGATATTAAGCTCATCGTCTTCTGTTCTTATCATTTTTTCGTTCTAAGGAGGTTCTTGATTTTTTCACGAAGTAGTGTAGCAACAGAAATTAATCGATGATTTTACCAATTCTAGAAGTTCCACTTTTTACTCCGAATTGAAGTGTCGGAGTTAAGTAAGAATTAGATTCCCTTGTCTCGAGTCTAAAGAGGAATCCGTTCATTTCATCTGAACAAACAAATGTTAGTAAAACTTTTTTGAGCAAAAGGTCACCCACATGAACAAGCTAGTGAAAACTAAGGAAACTAGTTTTTTAAAAAATCGTTATTCAAGTAAGCTTATTATTTTTTATTTCAAGCAACCCCTTAGTCGCTGGTACATCAAGATTAAGTAAAACTACCACAATGATTAATGGGGTATTTGGAACTGTTAAATGGACCTTAGAGAGTGTGCTTGCTGCTAAATTGCTGATTGAGGGAAGCGCCTGAGAAGCCAACAATGCATGAAATTTGATAAAATATTATAGATTGATATATATAACTTCAATAAGCTTGAAATTTGTGTAGTTTGGAATTGAATGTCTAGATTTATACAATATGTATTTAGATTGTGTTGAGGGACAGAAATAGTTCATGAGTGGTTATCACCTTAATCTGATCCCCTCAATCCAGAAGCCTGCAGCTTTACATGTTCAGAAAACTTGCAACCAGAAATCACAAGCCACAAAAATGGATCAGCGACAAACGAACTTGCAGGAGAATATGAGATTAAGCATGAATGGTAGCGCAGAATGATGTCATTGACTTTAAAAGGAGCTCAGATAAAAGTGCAATGTAAGTAAAGTTGGAAAAAGAAGACGAGAAGAACAGAACTTAAAGAGCAATTATGATTCTATGAATGTATTGAAGTTGTATGTCAGGCCTCTTGAAAGTTGGCGCCATATTGAACAAGGGAAGATGATGTGATTATTAAAAATGGAAATATAGTTCTCAACATGTCATAATATCCTACAATAATATAGGGATGATACTTTGACATTGAAATTATTGGTTTAGAGACAATTGAAGCAACCTTTTTTTCTTTGTTCTAAATACCCATAAATCTCCCAACCCTGACAACATGGAGCAGCTTGAAGAACAGCAGTTTCCCTCTTGAATCCGCTCATAACTTTGCAGGCTTAGGGAAAATGTCAGGAGTGAATTTCTGTGCTGCGCCAATGCTCCCCTTGACCTTCAGTGCACCCCTGCAGAGTTATCATAAAGTAATCGTGAGTTCTGAGTGACTTTTGGGGAAAAAGTGTTTTATCAGCACCCCTAGAAAAAACGCTACCTTAAATGTTCTTGAACTTTCAAATTGATACGACGTAAAAAGTATTTTTAGTACTTCTCATTTAGACAGTTTATTCCCAAGTGGATCGCTTAAAAGTGTTATTCCCAAAAGTCATCCCAAACTCACTTGTAGTCAACCATCATGGTAAATTCAGAAAGCATAATTCACTAAAAAATAGTGTCAAATTCATGCTAAATACATAAGCATTAGTGCAAGAAGGCAAAAACGGACATCCAAAGATGATAAAACAAAATTTAAGTACCTCAAGAAAGCTATCTGAGGATTCATCTTTCCCAAGGCAATTTTAATAAAATCTTCATCCTTGAAGGATAAGGTGGCATCTGGCTTTCCTCCTTCATATGGACCTGAGCTCAAAACAGTTATAATGCGCGTCTCAATTTTCCATCCGGTACACATAAGTATGCAATGCCATTTCTATAAGGTTATAATTGTTGGTTGGTTACCAAGAAGGAGAAAAATGCATTTGATAATTGATGGCCAGAATGCTGAAACACACTAACAAAAATTTTGTGATTATGTTTAGATTGCGAAATGCCTCGTTAAAATTTATCGAGAACTATTACGGCCGGTGAAATACCAGATCGAGCACAAGGCATTAAAATTGGGAGAAAAATCTACCTTCCACCATTGTCTAAAAGCACCAGATTATAAACTTATTTCATCCTATGATTGCCCAATAACAAAATTAAAAGGAGACAGAGTACAAGTTTTCAGCCATCGGTCTTTAAATTGACGCTCTTATGCAAGAAAAAGCGCCGAATCCGAGAAAACAGAAACCCTAACCTTTGGTAACCTCCCCTTTCTTGAGATCAATGGTATAAATGACCTCATCAGTTCCAATTTTCTGCAAAGAATAAAAGTCGGATTCAGAGCTTCGATACACCGGGAAAAAAGCAATCATGCGAGAAAAAGAGAGAGGGAGAGAGCTAGACCTTGGGGGCAATGTTGATCTGATAAACATGGCCGACCTTCTCGATGATCTGTTTACCGGCATCAGTGGTGAGATACTGTTTCAACTGCTCCAACAAAGCGTCGGATTTAAGGGGAGAATTTGCCATTGGCGACGACGTGATGCGCTAAAATTGGAGCGAAGGGGTGGAAGAAAATGGAGCGAAGAGAAAGCTCTGGCGTATGCGATTCTGGGTGATACGGTTTTAACATTGTGAGAATTGATTGAGATGAGGAGTAATTGAATTGATGAGGCTGACTGATGACGAACCAACCCAACCGGAAACGCAGACGATATGCACACGCATCCCAACGCTGATAAGTTTCCCTTTCGTTCCTTTTTGTTTGCAAATTTGTCAATATTATTATTATTTTTTTTTTTGAAAATCAAATTTGTCAATATTTAAGCAAGGGTTTCATGGTAAAAAATTATCATTTGTGTGGCTTTAAAAATGTTCGTTTTATTTTAATTCCAGTACTTTCAAAATAGTTACTGTATTCTTTAAAAAGAGTCATTTTGATGGTTAAGAATTTTGAATAATTTCAGATGATCTGACGAAGTATTCGATAACCTCCTTCATAGAATTTTAAAGTAAACAGTTTATTTAATTTTATCCAATTTTAATTTTTAATTAATAAATTAAGATTAAAAGTTTATTTAATAAAAATTATTATTTTCTTTTTCTTTCCCACGAACATCTAAACAAATAAATTCGATAATATTCTTTTCAAATCGTTTTCATGGCAAATAAGATAGATAATTTAAAACTATTTTTTTTAATTTTAAGTTATATGATTCTAAATAATTTATTTAACTTTCTTGATGTCAAGAGAAGGTAAGGAAGTTCTCACACTTAAACAAGTTCTATGTCTAATTAGTTCAATTGACTCAATAATTAATGCACCAATAGGTTTGAACTTTGAATCTTAATCCTCTTAATCTTAATCCCGCATTTGTTAAATTAAAAATTTACTTTTATATATTGTGTCTTCTAGAACCTTAAAAAATGCAAGAACATTTGAAATTTTAATGATTTATTTTATACTTCTTAAAATTTATTATTAATTAGACACCTTATTTAATTGTTTTAGAAGATAACATTAGGAAAACGTAGCTACTACCTGCTAACATTATTTGTTAATTTGTAATATTGTTTTAAGTGAATGGTGGAGAAAATATTTATGTTGGGGGGAATTATAAATAACTAATGTAATTTGAGTAAATATTGAGAAACAAATACGAAAACAATTACGTTGAAGAGCAAATATCTCTTTAAGGAGCTTCAAGTCTTCTACCGTGAGTATTTCTTTATTAATCATCGATATACAATAGATCTTCTCTAGTCTGTCATTTCCATCATACAACGACCAACTAAAACGTTATATAGCTCAAACTACTCCCTACATAGAGGTTGAGCTCAAAGCTCCACAATAAAGAATAGAGAGAAAATAAATAAAGTAGGGTAGATATAAAATATGTTATATGTTATGTATATATTATATGTTGAGATTGTGGTTAGAGAGGTATTTATAGGATACATCTTGAAATTTAATACAAAGATATTAATTATAAAATAACATCTCTTTCAAATACGTTTTCTTCCCAATTTGATAAAATCTCTCCCAAACTTAAACTCTTAAATTAAATACTAAAAAGAAACTCATACTTAATTATTAATAAATATTAGAATGTGACAACAATTTATTCATACTAGGTCTATATTTCAAGTATATTGATGATGATATTAAAAAAGATCTTGTTTTAAAATATTTTGGTCCTTATACTATCAACTTTTGTTTATCTTGATTTTTTACTTTTAAAATGTCATTTTGATCCTTATACTTCCAATTTTTATTCGTTTTAGTCCTTGTACTTTTGAAATATATATTTTTTTTGTTCATGTAAATTTAAAAAGTTAACATTTTGGTCAATTCAACTTCATTTTTATCTCATTTTTATCCCTCCCAGTTTTGGCGTGACATTTCATTTACTAAATTTCTTGAAATGTAATCATAAAAAATATAAGAACTAAAATAAATAATACTGAAAACTATATAAATCAACTTGGACATTTTGAAAGTATATAATCAAAATAATATTTAAACATAAAAAAGATGGAGAAGTTTGTTTGACGAGGGGATCATTCATTAATGTTCATTGATAACCCTCTTTCCATTTTGGGAGTATACAACTAAAACAAGCATTTAAAACTATTGTTTCAACGGGAACATCATTAAATAAGTTGGTCAATTGATGCTGTTATCCACAAATAGTGGGTGGGAAATTTGGCCATCAACAATTTACTAACGCTCAATTCATGATGTTGTAATTAATACGCTAAAAGAAAAAGTAACCAAAAATAATCTCATTCATCTATTTAACATCACCACGTAAATATTAGTAGATGTTGATTATATATACATATATTTTTTTAGTACAATAAAACATTGAGAGTTTCGAACGTTCGACTTCTAAAAAAGTAAGTAATATATTGACCAATTAAATTATTTTCATATCCTTCTATGGGCATGTACTTGATTCTTGAAATGACAGTGTACAAGGACATCTTGCTGTCCTCGTGACTTTGGGTTGGGACGGTCCTAACCAAGCTAAGGGGAAAAACCGAGCTAATAAAATAAATTAACTGAAAATTAAACAAAAAGAGAAAAAAGAGTTGGGCTTGGGCTTGGTCTTGGGCTTGAACTTTGGGATTGATTGGAAAATCGGTCCACTTAGTCCGGGCCCATTTTGGTGTGTATCGGCTGCTGATGGGTCATCTTCCAAAATCTGGCTGGAAGGCCCTGAAAGGGAACGGGAAATGGACTATGCTGGACCCGGTTTTGCGAACCAACCAATTCCCACCTGCCAACTCAGCGAAAATAAATAAATATATAATTTAAAACCGTTACTCCAAAAAACTCAACAACGATGCTCTAAACGAGTCATTTTACCTGAACTTAGTGACTAGATGATGAATCACAATCAAGATTTCCAGCTTGGCAAGTTCATTTCCAGGGCAGGCGTGAACTCCACTGCCAAATGGCATAAATGTATTGGGTTTTGGCGCAACCTGAAAAATGGAAAACACCCATAAAAAAAAGTAAGTCAGTCAGCTTTAGTCAGCTTTAATTCTGTTGGGTTAACAATTTTTTTTTTGTTGATTAATCTTTCAGGTAAGAATTTGAACCTTCAAACCAGTTGATCCTAGGGTGTACATCCATCAGTCGGATCGATTTTTCGGCCAAAACTCCCCACCGACCGACCGACTAGACGGAAGCTCACGCCGATCAATTTATTGTCGGTTCGGTCGTCGACAAACCGATCTCTCCCTTTTTCTTTTTTTTTTTCTTTTTACCTTTCGTGTTTTTCGAGTGACTGATTTGTGACTGGGTAGCGGCTGAAATGGGGCGGTGGGGGCTAGGTAGCGATTGAAACGGGGCGATGGAGGACTGGATGCTGCGGCGCGAGGCGAGGCAAGGCGACGAGGTGAGTGAGAGAGAGGAAGCATGGGGTGAGGGTTGACGGCGCAAAGGTCTGGGTGGCGATGACCACACCGTGAGAAAAATGGATCAGGAGAGGGAGAAGGAACAATAGGGGGAGAGGGGGAGTGAAAAAAGAAATGAGAACGGAGGCTGGTAGAGGAGAGAGAGTGAAAAAAGAGATGAGAAGGGAGGCGGACGGCTGGGTTTGTAAACCGTACAAAAATTAATCATTAATATATAAAATTATATATTAATAAAAATAATAACTTTTTTAAAGAGAAATATTTCGATCTCTTCGATCAATTATAGGGATTTTCTACTGACCGACCGATCGAAATTGTGAAAGATGTAAAACCGACCGTCAGTCGATTGACCAGCCATTGAAATTGACCGACCGACATCGGTTCGGTCGGTCGGACCAACTTGATCGGTTTCGATGTACACGTTGATACTCAGGTATAGGTATAGATTTAATAATTACATTGCAAGTGAATGTATTAGTTAATTACTTCTAAATGAGCAAGATTAATTTGCAGTAGATTTATAGAATCGAGTACGATGTAGATTTATTCAATACACAATTAAAATTTTAAAATTTTACTATTTCTCACCTCGAATCTGGAAGGGTCAAATTTGTGAGGATCGGTGAAATATTCTGGACTGTGATGGATGTTTCGGAACAAAGGCATCACTTTCCAACCTTTTGGAATCAAGTATCCTATTCCACGTCGTTTCACAAACTCATTACTTTTCTTTGAAATAATAATAATAACTTCAAAATATTAAATTGCTTTTGGGTCATTTTCCCTCACCTTTATATTCCACATCAGCAACAGCCTCTCTGAAAGTGAATGATATAATACTCGCCATTCTCAAACTCTCCAATACCATCTACGGTTCATAAATACACAGAAAACTAATTAATTAATCTCTTAAAAAGATTTGTTAAGTTGGGAAAAAAGTTAGCACAGGGAGGAACTTGCTCCTTAATATCAATAAATATTTGACTGTTTATTTTTTATTTTGTTATTATTTTTTTCATCTCTACCCGATAATTGTCAAATATTTAATATTGTTATATTGTTAAAGATAAGTTTCTAGTAAGCCAAAATTTTTCCAGTTAAAAATTCGAGAGTAATATAGATAGCAGCAGACCTTGTAAGTGATTGGCATGTTTCTAGTTTGAACCCAACTTAAGCTTCTATTATTTTCACAATTTGATTGTCGAATTCCTTTGTGCTCAACCTGGAAAACACAATCCAATAAAAATTTGAAAATGTTAAATTAAGATTAAAGATTAAAGATGGTACCTTGACAGCATGAAGAAGCTTGGGGTGATCGTGGAGGTATTTGACAATCCAACTCATGACGCTGGCTGTGGTGTCCTGAGCAGCAAAAAGAACTCCAATTATATTATCTGCAATTTGGGCCTCGCTTAAAACTTCTCCTTCTTCATCTATGGAGTTCAGAAGGCACCCTAACAGATCCTCCTTCTCGCCCACCTTCTTCTCCCTCCTCTCTCTAATCACCTCACTTATGATTTTACTTAGTCGCTTTCTTGCCTGTCAGTCCACAACACACCACAAATTTTCACTTTTTAGTATACTTGTCCTCTTTTCTCTGCTTCAAGAAAAGACAAATCTTTTTTTTTTTTTTTTAATGGATTCTTTTTTCTCGTTGTGTTAAATTGACTTACTGAGAGTGCTTTTTTGTATGGGGTTCCGGGAATGTTTGTCGGAAAAGAGTTGTAGCCTGCATCCAATTTGCTGTAGTTTTTCTTAAGATCATCTCTGTAACCAGCTTCTAGATGCCCAAAAATGGCCAATATCCCCACTTCAAATGATATCTAAACAAACACAAATATGGTAAAAACAACTCACAGCTTTTCCCTAAATTAATAGGTTATGGTATATTTAATCTTGAACCCACCTTTTTCATTTCGTGAAAGGTGTGAATGACGGGGCGGGTGGGCCACAAGTCGAGAGCGGAGTCGGCGGCGGAGTCGATGTCGGGCACCAAGTTACGGATGGCGTCCAAAGACAGGGCGTTCTGGACCAGCTTCCTGAGGCGCAAATGGTAGTGACCTTGGTGAAAAAACAGAGCAGATGGGCCGATCAAACGCTCTTTACTTTTGGGGTAAGTTGGCCTAAACAAGTGAGCCTGCGTCACCAGCACAAACCGCGCCGCCTCCGGGCTGCCCAGCATCACACACGGACAGCCAAGAATATGCGTCTTGAATATCTCCCCATACCTACTCCAAATCAACACAAAAACCAATTGATTAATTAAACTTAAACCCATCAAATTTAAACCCAAACGAAGCAAAAAGCTGCAACCTTTTCTGCTTGGCGGCGAAGAAAAAATCTGGGTCTTGAGAATAGAGTTGAAGGGTTTCTCCAATATAAGGCCAGCCCAAGGAACCAGGGGGAAGCTGGGCTTCTTCTTCTCCTCTTCCTCCTCTTCTCTTGTTTCTCTTTAAAGAAATGTACGATAATAAAAACAGAGTGAGAAGGAACACCAAAACAGATAGAAAAATTTCACCCATTTGTAAAAACAATGGAGATTATACTGTGGTTTTTATGCATCAGGGGAGGGCGGAAGGAGGGGTTTTTATATAGAGGCAGAGGAAAGGGGAAAACAAAAAAAGTGAAGACTGAAGATGTCAATTGTGAAGATACAGAGCCCCAAGTAGATACAAATGGCAAGATTTTTAGGCATCCAATAGAAAAGAGACAGATATGGTTGGAGAGAAGGTACAAGACAAGACCTTGCGTTGTCCATGGTTTTAATGTTGTTACCAAACTTTTTATCGTCAGTTACGTTCTGTCTCGACAAGCCCACCTGGAGATGATTCACCAACTTTCTGCTTCTTCTTCTTCTCTTAGTTCTTCCCTTTGAATTCATTTATGGAGAATATGGTTGTTTAAGTTTCACAGCTACCCACCTCCCCTTTTTACCCCTCTTTCGATTTCCATGCATTCAAAAGGAAACTTTTGACCTACAACTTCCCCTTCCATTTGTATATTCCACTCGTCACTTGTCACTTTCTTTTTCAACTTCATTAATTTCCACCATAAAAAATTTATTCACTGTTCACGAATGTGTTATATTCTCTTCTTCTTTTTTTTTTTTCTTTTTTCGGTTTCACCCAAAATTATTAAAAATTTTGGATAACTAAAAAAGATAAATGCTTGAAGAGGAGAGTGAAAATAAATATCAACATGAACCTAGCCGAACGGTAATTGTCATGTACTCTTCCCATCAAGGTCGTTCATGGTCAACTACCTTAAGAATTAATTTTTATGTGTTTTTGCGTTAACAAATCCGTACACTCATAGATTTAGAAAGAAAAAAATGTTGTTCTTTACCTATATACCTAGTGCATAGTTTATAAAGAGGGCTAATTATTCTTAGTTTGTCTTATATTAAGAAAATATATACAAAAGTTTAAGCTAAGTTTTATCTCTAATTTATTCACTAAAATTTATATAGTATATAATTCAAATATAAAGTGTTAAATCTGATCAGATCCCATTTTTAGATGGAATGCTCGTTTGAGTTTGTTGGGCTCTGATACCATATTAATATTTATGTGGTTCATCTCAAAATCAATTGGTTTTTAGAGGAGTAGCTCATGTCTATTATAAATCATTGTTAAGTTCCCTCTCTTTTTTGACGTGGGTGAGATCCTTAACAACTATCTTCCATCAATTGTCTAGGAATTATAAAACATATTTTGGATATGCATCTAATGGTAATTGCAAAATGTATTACATCATGCCGGCTATATTTAATATTTTTTCCCTTCTAGCCGATGTCGAACATATATTTGCATCCCGACAATCATGATGCACGATCATTTTTAATTATTGTAGATATGGTCGCACGAAACACAATAATAAGAACAAAAAATTGACAGTTATTTATTGTACTTTTCTCTCTTTATTTATTCATTAATCTTTCTTATTTCTCATCTTTTAATGGTATATTAGAGAGTAGATACCTACTTACAAGTACGCACCTAAATTTTATCCCATTAAAAATATTAGGAAAAGAAATACGCACTCAATCCATCCACAATTCGTTAGTGAAAGATATATGTCTTAACCAGGTTAGCTATAATTAAATTGACTCTTTTTAATCTGCATTATGAAAGATGTACGTGTGGGAGCGTGATTGACGTGGAGAAAGAGGATAGAGTTTTGTAGGAGTTATTGAAAAGAGGGGGTGGGTGGTTAGGAGTTAGAATAAAGAGCGAGTGTTTGGTGGAGTTCGTGTTTAAATTACAAGTAGTAAATTGAGTTGACAAGTGAATTAGTGTGCAGGAAAAAAGGGGGGAAGAAGAAGGATAAAGAAACAAAGAATATGGATATGTGTCGTCACTGCCATTAATAAACAGTTGTTTACGTTCCCCTTTTTCATGCATGTCATGTGTTACAACCTGTAACGTCTTCAAAACCTTTCTAAATCCTTAACACGTATCAATCCCATTTTTCCACTCTCTCATTTTTGTTCTATTAAACTCTAAATCCTAACCGTTCAAACGCTTCAATCCATGATAGATTATTCAATGTGATTACCTCTCTCAATAACCGTTGCATGTATCTCTGAAATCTATCTATTCTCAGAAGAAAAAAAAAACATTACATATTCCAAATACTAACTATTAAGTTGCATTCTTCTCCCAACTAGAGATTATTTTAATTTACAACAGTGATTATATCAAATTATACAATTTAACATGTACTAATCAGTGATTTTGATAATTCATCTTAAGATTAATTATCGATTATGTAAATCAATTTATGGATTATTTGAATTAAATATATACGTGAATAACTAATTGTGTAAATCTAGGGAAAATATCCATGGAACTAATTATGAGCATCACGTGTGAGTGATTTAAATGTTTTACAAAATACAATATTTGCATATAATGCAAAATTTCTACATTTGGAGTTTTTCTTTCCTTACAAGAATATATACTTGGATGTCGTAGTTGGGGAATTTTATGTTTGGAAAATATTTTTTGAAAATGATTTAGATGCTATTTTGATCTCAATTTAATTTAATTTATTTTTTCATTATACCTTCAACTTTTGTTCATTTTAATTCACATGTTTAAAAAAATATTTTCTTTGGAAACTATATTTTTAAATGTAAAATTTTATCATATATTCTATTTACAATAAAAAAATTAATATAAAATTATGACTGCATTTTAAATAAATTATTATAAAAATAAAATGGAGTAACTAAAACGGTGACTTCTTAACAACACAAATATCAAAATAGACGTTTTAAAAGTATATGTATTAAAATAGATAAAATATCAAATTATATAATAGATCAAAATTGACATTTTAAAATTACTAAAAGATAGCATATGAACCTTTTTTTAGTCCAATCCGTGAGAAAGAGAGATTTAAACTCATGATTTTTTTAGATATATATAAAAGCCCAAATCAATTCAGCTATACTTAAAATTAACCAAATATAGAAACTCGATGGTATTTGATGAAAAAAATTAACATATAAAGAATGTTTTTTTTGGGAGTAAATAATACGAAAACAAAAATTGACCAAAAGAAAGGTCTTCTGGCAACGCAGTCACACGTGACATCAGTGTGGCACGCGTTAATCTTTTTTTTAAAAAAAAAAAGAAAAGCGTTAATCCTACTTTCTTTCCCGCAGACCTTTCTTCCGCATAGACCTTGTTAATAAATCGGAAAAATATGCTTTCTCGTCTACCTTAATTTAAAATGTTGGTATGAAATTAGTAGAAACTCATACAATTGTCATTTAACTGGTTGAGACATGTATTTTCGATTAAACAATTGTGAGTTCGAATCTCCACTCCCACAAATTATATTTTAAAAAAATAGAATTTTATTTCTTTATTTGTTAAAAATTTGTAAGTTTTGACATTATACAATAATATGGACTTAGAGTAAAATTTTATTTTCATTGAAATTATTGAGTTTTTAAATTTTTTACATTGTTTTTTTTTTTTGTTAATATTAGTGAAAAACTAGCGGAAATAAAACATAAAATAAGCATTATAATAAAGATGTTATCTTAATGAAATTATCAATTAATACTAGTTTAAATTTGTACTAAAAAAATACTAGTTAAATTATTTAAGAATGTAAAAAAGACAAAGATGAACTTTAAAAGCGGCAAAATATTATTGATCTTTTTATATCTAACAATTATTTTTATGATAACTTCAATTGTTTATTGAGATTTTATTTGTAATGATATATTTCATAATTATTCAACCGACTTTAATATTGATATCCGATCGAAAAGTCGTGAGTTCGTCATCCACCTCCCATGTGATATATTCAATACATATATTGGGCTAGATGAATAGTATATTAAATTATACATACTATCAATTTTGACATTTTTTAAGTACTACAAATTAAGGTGGGGGAGTTTTGGACATCCGACTTCCACTATTTTAAGTAAAGTTTTATTATTATTATTAACTTCCTAAATAGGCGAGTGACATAATTCTACTCCTACAAGTCAGTGTATTTTTTTTTTCTAGACAGAGAAAACTAAAGATTAAAATTCATTCTTATTATTAATTTTTTTCAAAGGAAAATATTGAAATTATTCAAAGAGGCATTTCCAACCTCTATTTGTCGCGGGAAGATTGTACTATAATCTTTTCGATAATATGAACATTGTTCATTCTAGACATAAATTTTAGTGATTTTATTTTTTATATTATTCAAAATGTCTTATTTTAATAAAGATGTTGTCACACGACTTCTCTTTATATAGTCAATTTGAAACTTTAGTTGCATATTCTACATCATGCTCGAACTAACGATTTTCAATTTAGATATAAAGAAATTTTAAGTTCTAGGGGTATAAAGAAGTTTTCACACCATCCTCGTGTATTATTTATCAAATATAATAAAACAATATTATTTATCAAAAAAATGTTTTTTTTTACAACATGTAGGAATGAAGAATCGAATTCACAAAATTTTGATTTGAAATATATATATGAATTATTGCTTAAGATATATATATGAATTATTGCTTGGTGATGTTCGTTTTAGCATATTGTTTATTAATTTAATCCTCAACTAATCAAAATACTTATTTTGGATGAAGATGTCGCGACTCGGGAGTTATCTCGGCCACCTCACATTGAATTAAAAAATAATAGTAAATAATAAATTATTTAATAATGTTACAGACGGTAAAGGAGACGGGTAAGTACGGAATTGGAAATTTTATCCGATCGGGCAGTGGCATCCAGCTAACGTGTGGTCCGGTGGGGTCCACGTCGTAGACGTGTACGGAAATGCCAATTTAGGACTCCACGTGGAAGTTTCCAAACGAAGAGGACCCCTCGCTAATTCCGATCCCTTCTCTGTGCCAGCTGGATATTTCTCATCACTTGTCAAGCATTCCGCTGCTCCATTCTCCCTTTTCTTTCTAAATTTGAAAAAAAGAAACCTTTTATATTTATTTCGCACTTGCATTTTTCTGGGGGGCATTATAATAGCAACTCAAAAACTATACGTCTAACTCCCAAAATAAATTAAAAAAGAAATACATGTCATAATCTATGGCATGTCTAAGGA